TGGGGTTTGCCTGACCCGAGGTGGAGGTGGGGGTGGGGCAGGGTCTTCAGTCTACCTGCCTTGATCCTCCAGTTCAGGCCAAGCAAACCCCAGCCTCCCTTCCTGCAGGCAGCCCCAGAAGTGGGGCTAGGCTACATCAGCCCAGCCCTGATTGCGTGACAGATTAACTCTAGGGAACAAATTTCATCCCTATTAGATGAGGGTTACTTTGTCACGTGATTGGCCACTTTAAAAGCACTCTGGAGCTGTGCATGTGAGTGCTTTCAGGGAGTCAGTTGCTTGACAAATGTGACTTCTGTCTGTGCCCTTAGTGTCATTGCTATGCATTGTATCTCACATCTTGTCCTTGGCACACTGGAAGGAATGTTTGTTACTTTGATCTGAACCTTCTGATTTCGGAGAATATTTGCATTTTGAGCTCATCCCTTATACAGAGCAGTGTGAACTTCGATCTGTTAGTGATGGCTCTTGGGGCAATCCCATGATGATGTAATCTGAGACTTAAAAGGAAAGCCCATTGAGAGTCAGTGGAAGTACTAAACCAAGAGCTAGTGAAACTCCAAATGCTTAACCTGTTGTCATGGGCTATGAAGATTTTATTCTCGTGAGTCAGAGCTCTGCTCCTCTAATTTGCTGGTACTGTTGCCTTCCATCTCTCATGCAACCATCAAATTAAAGAAAGCCAAATATAAATAATAATAGCTTTGAGTTCAAAACATGAATGGAAAATAAATAATTCTAAGCTCTTAAATATGTAGATCATTGTTTACTTAACCCTGGCTAATTTTTTTCCTCTTTGAATTTAGGCTAGAGAGGAGGAGAAAATTTTAATCTAAATACTTGCCTGGCTCTGATCAATATAATATAATATTTTTTTCCCTGTTTACTCGGTATTAATAATGGATACAATACCAAAATAGCCTTGGCTGTTAATACCGAGTTTTGTAAATGTTGCGATACTTTTTGTGAAAGTAGTTCACTACTTAAATAAAGTGACACTGCGAAATAGGGTCTTGCTGATTTTGAATGGTGGTTCTGCTTAGCATAAATATTGTACTGCATAGTTGTGACTGCTTTGTTTGCAGAAAAGTATATGCATTAATCAGCTCTGTGTGGGTGTAGACAGTCAATTGGGCAAGTGAGTGGAATCAGGATAGTGCCAATCAGAATTTGTGAATGGATCCACCAGTCTCTCTGCTGGATAAAAAAGTAAAGGAGGTTTAAGGAAGGTGCAGGCATGGTTCTAATTTTGGGTCTAGTGTGGTAGAAGCAGAATAGTTCCATTCGGTTGTTGGTGGGACAGTTTATCCTTATAGTGAGCGCTAGAAAATAGCTTGACTGCCAAGGCTTTATGTCAGGATAGAATTGCTCCTTAATGAAAAGGCTTGAAGGAATTTTTACCAATTACAAGCTGGGCAGATCCAACCTCTCTTCTTAGTTTCTTTTACTAAAACCTTTTTTTTTACCTTGCTTTTTTGTCTAATTTTGACCTTTTTTGATTAGCATCAAAGTACTTTCATTGCCTCTAAGAACCCATTAATTGCATATAACAAAACTGAAATTGTTGGTAGACACATTAGTTGTGTATTTGAGGCCCCTGAATTTGTTTGTGACAGTAGTATCCAAGTGGGATTTGGGAGCTTTGGAAGAGGAGGGCATCTTACTGATACCCTGTAATACAGGGAGAGAGTGGGATACTAGAGAAAACTCATGACAACATTTTGGCAGAGGCCATAGTAGTCTTTCTTGAAGATCTACCTGCCTTTCATATTTCTGGGAAACGTGAAATGTTTTACTGAGAAAACACCTTGCAGCCTTTATCTTCTGTTCTAGAGATGCATGGAGTTAACAGAGATGATGGACATGAAATTCCTGTTCTCCCTGTATCAACTGTTACTTCATTGTTCACAGTGCTTCAGCGTGACAGAAAATACAACAATTTGCCCTTTGTTTGCTTGTGACCTACAAAAAAACCCAAAGTTTTATCTTTCTGACGAACTTGAAACAAGGTTAATCCTCTGTTTAGGCAATCTCACTGTTATACGTGAATGCTGTTCATGAATGTCAGTTTTATCAGTCAAAATAATCTTTTCCTGATTGCAAAAATACCATATTTTCTGTTCATTCAAGCATAGCTGAATCAGATTTGCGTTTATACACATGACCTTTTAAGAATAATATTCTGCTTTCTGCAACATGCTATTGCATGTAGAGTGCCACTGAAGAACTGAGTAACAGTAATGTGCTGTATGTGACTATATCAGAGGGGTGAAACTAATCTATAGCACTGACCCATTTTGATATTTATATGAAATTATATCGTTCCGTACCAGTAGGCATGATATTGGTTTCTGAAGTATTATTCATTTAAAGCAATATTGTCACTTAACATTTATAATGAATATGCTTTTTAATTGTAACATTGACGATGTCCATATATTATCAATAATATCTACAGCTTTATCAAATGATGCAAACTTAATTCCATGGCTTAATTCGAGCAATATGAGGATACATAGCAAAGTTAAGCCATCTCTCTATCTTTCTCTTGATAAACTGTGTGAAGTCTTTTTTGTTTTTTCTTCATTTATAAAGCTTTATTCCCTAGCATTACACGTGATGTGAGGAAATGCTGAAAGTCTTGCTCACCTTGTATAGAATAGCCTGAGTAACAGGTATGTGGCCTAACAGGTTAGCAGATTCCAATAAAGAATGTTGAAGTTAATTTACACAGTCCTTGTTAGTCTCAGTAATCATGTTGTTGTTACCAGATAATTAATTGCAACTTACACTTTGAAAAGGTTAATCATCGGAGAGAAATGTTAAATATACCTCCACAAATGAGTACGCCTCACGTGCAGGTTCCAAATGCAGACTAGCATACATCCTGGGGAATCTGTCTGTAAAGGTGTTAGTCAGGAAATTCTGAATTCAGTAGACTTAAGTGATGATGCTTTCACTGTGTGAATTGAATTGGCTAAAACTTGAACTGCTTTCCTCTAACACATTCTTTTTCCCCACCTTAGATCACTCCAAAGAATGGGCGTTATCAAATCGAATCAGATGTGCTCTTGTTTCCATGGAAGCTGACCTATAGGAATATTGGTTCTGATTTTGTTCCTCGTGGAGCTTTTGGGAAAGTGTACTTGGCACAAGACAGAGAGACAAAAAAGCGGATGGCATGCAAGCTGGTAGGCTTGTTCAGAGTTTTTTCTTCCAAGTAAACAGTCTAAAATATGGCATACGTAATAGGTCATGAGACCATACCTGCATTTAATTGCAGTGGTAATTGAGGCATCGTTGTTGCTTAGGAAAAAAGTATTCTACAATTACACCTGGCACTGATACTTCTCTATAAGAATGCTTAATGTATGATTTATTTCAAGTGTTTTGTTTTGGCTTTTTTGTACTGGACTGTATTAGCAAGAAGCATTTTTGGGGGGGATTTGAAGAAGTACATTTTCTTGAGAGGAATATTTTGGAGTGATTAGCTGTGAGACAGAGAAACCTTCAGCATTCTGAATGTGTACAGCAGTTTGTGTAATTGCCATGCTGTACAAGCCTATTGCCTGATTAGTATTCTTCAGAGGCCTTTTGAGCCTGGCTGTTGTCAGCATAGTAAACCACTGGGTTCCTTGAAGTCGGGGGCAAACTTGTGTTGAAGGCAGGTCAGGAGAAAGCGTATGCATAAAGATCGTGCATCACCTTGAGTCTCTCTTCAATGGGAGGAACTTATGCATGAAGATCCCACTACAATGCCAGTCTGAAGTATCATTGACTTTACTGTTATTTGAAGCACATGCATAAGTGTTCTTCCATTAGATTCATAGATTGTAGAGTCAGAAGGGACCACAATGGATCATTGTGTCCAACCCCCTGCCCCTGGCAGGAAAGAGGACTGAGGTCGGATGATCCCAGCCAGGTGACTATCAAGCCTCCTCATGAAGACCGCCAAGTTAGGTGACAGTACTACCTCTCTTGGAAGCCCATTCCAGATATTGGCCACCCTTACTGAAAAAAATGTCTTCCCAATGCCTAACCTATGTCTGCTCTTCACTAGTTTGCAGCCATTATTCCTAGTTCCTCCCTGAGGCGCTCTGGTAAATAGCCCATCACCAATTCCCAGTTGTCCTCCCTTGATAAACTTATAGGAGGCTACATCATCTCCCCTCAGATGTCTCTTGTGAAGGCTGAAGAGATCCAGATATCTCAACCTCCCCTCGTAGGGTCTTTCCCAGAGGCCACTAATCATGTGAGTGGCCCTCCTCTGAACCCTCTCCGGATTCTCTGTGTCGCTCTTGAAGTGCGGCGCCCAAAACCAGACACAGTACTCCAACTGCGGCCTGACCAATGCCGCATAGAGGGGGAGTAACACCTCCCTTGATCTGCTGGTCATGCATCTGCTAATACACGACAAGGTGCAGTTGGCTTTGTTGATGACCTCGTTACACTGCTGGCTTATGTTCATCTCTCTCAGCCTCTGAGCTGCTGAGGATGTCATCCCCCAACCTGTAGGTGTGCTAGGGATTCCTCCTTTTTAGGTGGAGTACCTTACATTTATCTTTGTTGAATTGCATCCTATTTCGTTCCGCCCATTTATCAAACCTGTCCAGGTCGGACTGTATCTGCTTCCTGCCCTCAGTTAGGGTCTAATTGAGATGAAATGTGCAATATCTCTGTTTGCTTTGGGTGCATTGGAAGGAGAGACGCAGTTTTTCAGAGTCCAAGGTTTTGTTTCAATCTCATCTCTAGGATAAAACTGTTCTCAGTATTGGCGTTCAAAATACTACTCTAACTTCATCAATGAACTCTTAAGGCTGACTTAAAGCTCATTTGGAGCCATGTTCCATACACAGCTATTGGTAAATAATACTGATAAAGACATGGGTGCCATGCTTAACAGACATTGCTGCCCACAGCGTGGCAGAGGTGGGAAGAAGGCTGGCTTGCCCTTTTCCTCTTATGCTGGGACAGCTAGCATTTAGTAATCATGTTTCTGAATTAAAACTGCAGCTATGCACTGCTTTCGGGAAAGCACTGCTCAGTATAATAAAAAAATTCGCTTGTGGCCATGAATTGAGCAAATGTAAAAGAATGGCCATTAGCCTTTTTTTTCCTCTAGCCCCAGATTGCAACTATGTATTATTTTGGTCCTTTTCAGTCAGCACCACCTCCAGAATAAACAAAATTGCTGAGGAATCATTTTTAAAATGACTTTATTTGCCATTGCATATGTGGTGGCTTTCTTGCATCTATCAGAATTTAACAGAGGTTAGTGAAGAGACTAAACACAATTTGTCCATGGTTACCCTTGTAGCTAAACTAAGGACTTTGCACCTGTTCAGACTCATGCTGTCAGCAATAGGCAATTCTCATTGCATAAATAAAACTTCAGATGGCTGAGGGGAAAATGGGGATTCTTATCTCTTTCACAAGAAAGTTTATCTAGAATGTTGCATAATCATTAGATTTTGATGGGAATAGTTCTTGCTAAATTGCTAGATTTTGATGGGAATAGCTCTTGCTAAATTGCTAGATTTTGATGGGAATAGCTCTTGCTAAATTTCTGGAATCGGGCATGCTTCTAAAATCTGTGTCCCTTTTATTTTTAAACAGGATGCACTGAAAATAGAGAAGGGGAATAAGTCAAGGCAACAATATTTTAACATGTTTAATAGGTGTTTTTCCTTTTGTTTTCAGTTAACATAGAAACTATTTACTAAGTAGTTAGCTGTTCTGTGTAGTTCTACTCAAGTTTTGTTTCAATGCCCCAGGTCCCACTGGAACAGTTCAAACCATCAGATGTTGAAATCCAGGCCCGGTTCCGTCATGAGAACATCGCTGAGCTGTATGGTGCTATCCTGTGGGATGAGACTGTCCATCTCTTTATGGAGGCAGGAGAAGGAGGATCTGTCATGGAAAAGCTGGAGGGCTGTGGGCGCATGAGAGAATTTGAGATCATTTGGGTGACAAAGCATATCCTGAAAGGACTTGACTTTCTTCACTCCAAAGGAATCATACATCATGATATAAAACGTATGTGTGCTTCATTCGTCAAAGGGCCTTCTTGTCCTCGTTACACTGGGAATACGCCACTGTTTTAATGTCTCTTCTTCATAACATAATTTTGAGGTGGGCTGAGCACTTCCACATCCCATTTCTTGTTGGGGGGTGGGGGGAGACATGTGGAGGGAGTGCTTGAATTAGTGCTGTATTTCAATTATTATGTTGCCTTGAAACATGATTGTTTTAGCCTCTCGACCCTTTAAGATAATCCAAGTCCTAATTAAAATCAAAAAGGACCTTGAGCTCAAGTTTGAAAAAGTTTAGTAAACTTTTTTATTTTCCAGCAGCTTTTAACTTCCTTGCTTTTCCTGGGTTAGGTCAGTGGCTAAAGTAGATCAAACAATTTTGATGATGGTTGTCACAGGCCTTGAGACTATGCGGTGATGAGACATTGCAATGTCTTGTGGTGATAGGATATGTCAATGGAGGAAGGATGGGGATAAAAAAAAAACTGTGCCTGAAAGGAGTTGTGTATCCCATAGCCAAACAGAAAGAGGGTTTGGGCTTGCAGTGTACTGAGCTGCGTAAGTTTGTATCATTGATGTTCTCTGTTTATCTGGTTAAAGAATTTCCTTGTGATGTTGAACCTTCTTTTGGCTTTGACACAGGAAGGGTGAATGATGTGGGGAGGGGGGAGAGGCCGTCTTGTCTGACTGTTGTAATCTCTTGATATTTCATGCTTTTTAGAAGAGCAAGCACATGTCAGAAGGGGCTTGACATAACATCAGGGGAGCTTGTGATTCAGGATTCTCCTTTCCATGTTAGGAGGCAGTGCCAGGCTCTCTTCTTTTGCTCTGGCAGGGTAGTGGTCTATGGGATTGAAGTATACAATCTCAAAAAACTATAATCTCAAAATACATTAAGTATATTGAAATACACATATGTATTTTTTTTCCTTCAACAGAAAGCAAGTAGAACAGTGTTTCTTTCTCTGCCAGGCAGTGTTGGTGGGGAAGGTTGAAACCTCATTTGTATTGTACTCGGTCCTTCTTACAGTTTCTTGACCAGCAAATTCCAACTTCCGGCTCCAGAGAGAGAATTCCAATAGAGCACAGCTTCCCCCAAGCCAAAAGGAGGAGGAGGGACTCTGCCGTGGCTTTTAGCTGCATCTCTTTGAGCTATTCAGAAGATAGGAGGCTGTGACATTACAAAACTATTCTTTAGGTGGTCCAATCCAAACCTGTTAAGTCTTCCTTCCTTCCTCACTTGAATGAGTTTAGGATCTGCCTGTTGGTGCTTATCTCTGTGTCCTGGTGAGGCATTATTGGAAATTCTGTGACTGAGTTAAGATTTCAAACATCAGTTCTCTGGAATATGAAGTTAGAGGTACTTACCCAAGGAAGTTGTTACTTGCGTTTGTAGCAGTGTCACATTCTGCACAAACCCATATCTACACAAATGCATGTTTATACTTAACCAGTCTGTTAAACCAGAGAGCAAACTGATAACCAGAAAACCACCTGAATCAGCATGGTTAGAAATGACCTGTCCGTTTTCTTTATTAGCTGGTAGGAGGACTGGTGTAAGTGTTAGGGCTTGATTTTTATTGGTAAGGGAAAAATCCCCTTTTTAACTGCACATATTTCTCCACAGTTGAAAACAAAATTCAAGAACTTAGCTTATACTTTCTCCATGTGCACTCAAACAAAAAGCAGCCTTCAGGTTGAGATTAAACATGTAAAGCTTCATTCCCAAAAGACAAAGTTGTGAGCAACTAAAAATGTTATCTTACGACAAGCTGATATTCATTATTTTGCAAGAAATATCTGTAAAATCAGGGTGTGATCCTACAGAATATTTGATGTTTGGATTTTGGGTTCAATTACTGTAACATGTCACCAGCACTCTGATTTAAAAGGTAGACAAGAGTGTGAGCATGTGTACATGTGCCCAAGGAGCTTTTTTTTCAGAATGTACCTGTGGTATAGTATTAATTACTTTGTGTCCTACTGATGATATGGATGAGAGAGAACTAGGCATAACGCCCTGAAGAAGTTGAATAGCAAAGTAGAAAATGATCTGGATATAGGTTCCTTTGGAGAAGATGGTAAAAAAAAAAAAAGTAATACCTTGCTCAAAAGCTTACCCCAGTAGCTTGCAACCTTTTTCATTCGCGGACCTCTAAAAAATTAAAAATTGAAGTGCAGACCTCTTTGAATTGTAAATGTGGGTATTCACAATACTTTCGATTGATCAAAGTCATCTTGTGTGGACCCCTTAAACAGTCTGCAGACCCCTCTGTGGGCCACAGTTTGAAAACCGCTAATTTATACTGTAGAGAATGCAGTAAAATCTTAAGTGTATGATGAATGAACAACAAGAGCAGAAATTAGGTGAGACCTGTACATTTTGTGAAAGAAGTGCAGGACCCAGTTCAAACTTACGGTAGGGATTTGCAAAGTAGTTTAGGGATTGGACCCTCTCTCCCCACGCGCCTCCCACCCCAAAAAAAAAACATAGAAATTCAATTGGAATACCAGGACCAAATTCCTTAGGTTGCTTTGAAAATCCCAGGCTCTCTTGCTCATATATCTTTTTATCCTACTGTATGCAAGAGGAGAGGATTTCTATTTTTTAAGGTAATATCTTTTATTGGTTCAGCTGCATAGTTGGGAGAAACCTTAAGCACAAGTTGCCCTTCCCTCATGGCTCAGACTTGTTCATGGTTGAAATTCCTGGGATCCAGAAGAGGTGTTTCCCCCGCCCTTCCTGGATAGCAGGACCTTAGAGGATTTCAAGACTGAGCTTACTGAATTCCTGCATGAAGCCTCAGTCCCTTGGAGCAACTGGCCTAAACTTTCAGCCTCTTGCTTTGCAGTTTCACTGTGGAAGTGGACAATCTGACCTGTAAGATCCAGTTTAAAATTGCAAGCTAAATATCCGATAGTGTTCTTCTTAATCTGAGACATGAAGTTAGAGGTTGAATATGCCTTTAGACTTAGAAGCTGCCGTTCCCAAATTGCAGCTCACAACACTTGTGAGTGATATTTGCAAACTCCACAGAAGTTCTGTTGGAGCAGCTGGGCTCAGCCTGGAAATAGTGTCACAAGCTAACCAGAAGTAGCACTGCTGTGCAAAAAATTGGGAATTGCTGAGCTAGAGCTTTTGTTGTTCTCTGTCTTTGCACTTCAGTTTTGCATGAGATGCTTGGATTGCAAAATAAAAGCACAAGTTTACAAGAACCTAATGTGTGTTTGTTTTTTTGCTTTTAGCCAGCAACATCGTTTTCATGTCAACTAAGGCTGTTTTGGTGGATTTTGGTCTAAGTGTTCAAATGACTGGAGACATTTACTACCCCAAAGACCTCCGAGGAACAGAGGTAATGATCATGTGTGCAAGGAAAAGCCCTGTCATTGCTCCACTCATGTTGTAATGCAGCCAGATGTTCAAGAAGGGTTGTTTGGTGAAACCATGAGGGTTTGGAGGGGCTTTTTAAAAAAAATTTATTTTAACATTTAGTTGTGTGACAGTGAGAGTTTGTTACAAATTGAACTTTCAGTGACTGGAGAACTAGGTATTATGTTACAAACATAATTTGTCTTCAGGTCAATCGTTTTTTCTAATTACTGTTAAATTCAGAACCAAGGGTGAAAATTTTGGTTCCACTAATGCTGCCACTTACAAGACTCCTGTTGGTTTCCAGCTGGGCAAAGCTCCACCCCTGATGCTTGGCAGACTATTAAGAATATATTTAGAAGACAAGTATGCAGGGATGAAGGATGCTTGCGTGAGTAGGGTTTGAGGCCAGGACTCAGAAGGTCAGAGTTCAATTCTGTGCTCTGCCATAGCCTTCCTGTGCGACTGTATTCACACCGCTTAGTTGTAAACCTGAAGCACAGAAAGTTATCAATAATTTAGCTCTTTAGTCATCAGGATTGCACCTTGTAAGGAGAGCTGTAGTTTGTGGTGATTAGATACTAAAATAATAAGGAACATGTAACTTAGATTTTGGGTCACGATTCCATGTAACAAGCACTGGTGTATCCACTTGACGCACATTTAGGTTTTCCAGGGTCAGGGCCTGAATTAACAACCATGAAGCTGCACTTGGCTGAATTATCTGAAGAAAATGTGGGCTGGCTTTGCATTGCCAGTGAATCTGTTACAGGAAATATTTTGCTGTTTTGATAGTCTTTCCAAGCACAGAATGAATACGTGTTTAACAGATGTATTCATAACCCTTTAAGGGGAGTGAACCACTTCTTGAAAGCAAAGGTTAGACTAATACATTTCAAAAAACCAATTGATGTTCCATGAAATGTTTTTGGGAGGATGCTTGAACATATATATATTTTTTTTTTTTTTGGTTTTCCGGCCATAAGAGTTCAGAACTAAGACTAATTACTGAACCTGTGCTAAAAATAACCATCCCTTTGGCATTTGACGTAGGAAATGCCTTTCCAATATGACAATAACAAATATGAAGCAATGTGATGGGAAAGGCATGAAGTTCTGAAGGGAATTTCCAAGGGAGGAAGGAATGTGTTTTTTCACATTAAAAAAAAAAAAAACTTCACTCAGCATAAAAAATACTTACGTTATGGCACAGTTTGCCTTACTTTGATCAGGCCAGGTTTATGTAAGTCAAGTTCAGGTTGATAAGATAAAATTGCACTACTTTTATAACATTAAGTGATTGTACAAAGTGAAACCAGGTGGGTGCCTGCAATTGTGTACCTTTGCAAGCTATGCAAGAATTCATCAATCCCTAAATTCATAGGCACATATCTTTCTTCCCCATTTGAAAGTCCTCAGCATCTGCATCCACAGAAGCCTTCTGAGACAGGGAGGGAATCATGAGATAGGACTGCAGAGGGAACAGACAGAGTGTTGGGTAAACTTTTGTAGGAATACAATTCTGGATTTTTACTCCTATTAGGAAAAATTCATGCTGCATTGCCACTCTCTTGCCTTGTCACCTCAGTAATGTCTTCATGGCTCACAAGTTCGAGTGTGCCAGGAATAGATGGTTTACTCAGGTGTGCATCCATGCCCTCTGAAAGCCATTGATGAGATGAATGAGCACTGCTGTTTCCTCTGCTTAGTGATGTGTTATACTCCACCTGAGTGCCTCCTGCATTTTGCATCAAACTGCAGCCTTGAGAGGTGACACTTTTCTAGAAAAGTTTTGCCTTTGGTTATGCAAAACAGTGCTCCTCTATAATGGCTACAGTGAGTTAGAACTTGGATTTACCATTCTGGATCCTGCTACTGGTCTGTTGAGTTTGGAGTCTGGGTCTAATGCCAGCTGCTGTGAAGGAGGGTACAGGCTGTTGCAGAGGTGTGTAATTTAGGCTTTCTTGTTCAGTTCTTTGCTGTGTGAGCACAGGCTGTACGTGGCCCATACTGAATCATGGCTCTGTGATAGAGGTTAGTGTTTTGCCATTCTGTACAAATTAAGCAAGAATATTTGAAGGACACCCAAGTAGCATGAGTATATGTGGTGTGAGTTAAATTTTCTGTGAAATGCAAAAATATAAAGTAGACCCAGAAATTGAGGAAAGTACTTAATAGGGACAGCATAATTTCTGTTTGTAGTTTCATAGTCATGGATTGTTCTTTCCAACACGCTTGATAAAGTGTTTGCCCCAAGTATAAGCCTTACTGAAGAAACAGTTGCCCACTGAAATGTATCAGATGCTGAGAGCCTGCACACTCAGCCACCCACCATGCATGTTAGGCTGAATTCTGTATTGCGTTATGCTCTGTACAACTATGTTGAAATGATTTTGAGGTCACACAGAGTGCAAGTCAGGGCCTATTTTGTTGCCCTACTTACTCCAAAGCTGCTTTTTCCTACTCTTACAAATAAAAGTAGAACTAAAAACACTTATTCAGTCATTTTCTTTCCTTATTGCACTTAAATGTTGTTTTTAAATGCATAGAAATGAGAGGCATGCTAATTTATTTTCTAAACTGGAAATGCCCCTTTTGTTTGATCACCTTGTCCCTTTTAAAGCAGGGTAAATATAACAATATCCCCCCAACAGAAGTAGCATACAGAGGCAAGTGGCTATTGCAGCCAGATTTCTCTAGACACTTTTGTGGGTATGCAACTTTATTTGGAGCCTTGATTGCAAAAGTGATTCAAGTTATTTACTGTAAAATATCTTCAGTATTTTGTAATAACTGCATGAGCCCCATAGAAATACCTAATCCTATGATAACTTGTGGTAAAACTATGTGGTGACAATTCTTTACGTAAACTTTTGTGTTTGACAGTTGAGTTACTCTTGTTGCCAGATGATTTCACTAGGAAAAAGCATTTGAATTTGTTTGTTTAGAGGGAGCTGGATGAAGGAGAAATATAATCCCAAAACAAACATGCTGGCCTGCTAATCTAGCATGTGGGCTGTGCATTGTTGTTCAAATTTAGCTCTCTGTGTCAGTGGGCTGGGCAGTTGTGTGCATGCAGTACCGTCATACTTCAACGTGAGGGTGTGCCTCGGGCATCCTGTCCAGCTGATTATAGAACAGCTGCCGGTGACATTCTTGCTAGGCTGATCTCCCCGGGAAGGGTGATGATTAGCGCTGGTAGGGAATGTTCTGATGAGCTGTTTTTCATTGCAGAATTTGGGCTCCTGTCAAAAGATCTTGGGTTTGTGTGTCTTGTTTTGTTTTGACAAATGGGTGTACTCATTTCAACAAGAATTGAATTTCTGCTCACAAAACAGGGAGGGAGAGACGCTTCACATCAGAATAACATATAACCCAGTGGTCAGGGAAGACCCAATATGTGGGAGATCCAGCATCAAGCCCTTTAGTCCAGTGACAGCCAATCTTTTTAGCAGATTGTGCTGCAAATTAAGCCCCCTGTTTTCCCAAAGTGCCACTCCAATCCTTTCCCTGATCCAGTCTGCTGCTCTGCTTTCTCTCCTTGCCTGACCTGTTGCTTTGCTTTCTGTTTCTTGCCCAATCTGTCCTCATGCTGCCTGTTCCCTCCCAGTTTTGCCACGTGCGACACACACACACTATCCACGCATGTTGCAGGTTGGCTACCCTTGCTTCAGTCAAACCATGTTAGCTGTTCTGGGGCTTTCAGTCTCACCCATTGGTGCTGTTGCACTTATATATATCATGTACAGGGGATTTGTATTTTGTCTTCCACATCTCAGATAAGTGCCATATTCTTTTTCACTCCCTTACCCCATGAATAAATAGACAAAGTGGAACAGGAGATTCAACAGGAGAGAGAGCCCCACCTAAGAACAGATTGGTAATTGGAGCAGACATCTGGGTTGTGTGAGATTTGATGTACTTCTGAATCGATCATAGCAGGGGCTTGAATCTGCATCTCCCAGACTCTGGGGGGACTGTCTTAGCTTTGGGCTATTCTGAAGTAGGCACGTGTTTTTTCTTCCACTTGAAAATCTTTGAAAGATCTTGGGTTTGTCGCAGGATAAAGCAGAAAAATATTTGAAATCTTGAATATTTTTGTGGAGCAGGAAAAACATTTTCTCCTCGAGCAAATGTGAGTTCAGTCTGCGGGGATACAGTGTGGAAGTCGGGGGGGGGAGGGGGGGCAGAGAGATAGGATAGGAGAGAGATTCTCACTGCCCGAAGTCTGGTGGCTGACCAATGGGTAGACGACAAAAGCAAAGAGTAATCTAACTTTTTAATTTCCTTCCCAGATTTACATGAGCCCTGAAGTGATACTTTGCAGAGGACACACAACGAAAGCAGACATCTACAGCATGGGGGCTACCATTATTCATATGCAGACTGGCAGCCCACCCTGGGTGAATAGATACCCTCGCTCAGCATATCCATCCTACCTCTATATAGTAAGTATCTAGAAAACTGTCTTGGAATAGCTTTCCAAAGAGTGAGGCCACTATATGCTTGTTGGTAAATCTCCTAGCCTTCTGTGGGATTGGGAAAGTATCTGCTGTCAGAAAAAAAGATGTAGTTTTCCAAAGTCTGAAAGAAATACCATGAAGGTTGAAAGCAGGCTGTAATAATTTATGAGGTGACTGACTGGAATGGTGTCAGCCATAAAGTTTAGTTTTGCAATGCTTGATGTGGCCTTGTGGAGGTCAGGTCTGAGTTGTACAAAACTCAGAATTTATACTTTTCATTTTTGAACAAAAGCCAGAATAGCCAAAGCAAAATTAATTCAGACCTCCGCTTTGGCATGGAAACTTGGTGAATGTTTCATACGCACAGCCTCCTATGGGCCTAAGGCTGCTAATAGGTTTTCAGGTCATTGGCTAGACCTTGTCTACATTTTCAGTTTATTGTTACACGTGACAGCAGGTGAATTTTGCTTGGTTACCAGTCTCATTGTGGGGACATAATTCCTGAGTGAGGAGAATTTCCATGGCAGTAACCTAATAACCTGGAACTTACTCTGAAAATGATCTGCTTTTGCTGGTAATATTGTAGGTCTGAGAGAATTATTTTTCTGGTTTGCTAGATCCACAAGCAAGCCCCCCCCCTAGAAGACATTGCTGAGGACTGCAGCACCACAATGAGGGAACTGCTACAAGCAGCTCTGGAAAGAAACCCATATCATAGACTCTCTGCTGGAGACTTACTGAAACACGAGGCCTTGCACCCGCCCCCAGAGGAGCAACCACGGTGCCAGAGTCTGGACTCAGCCTTGTTTGAAAGGAAAAGGCTACTGACAAGGAAGGAGCTGGAGTTGCCAGAAAACATTACAGGTACCACAAGCTTCCTTCTCTTGCACTTTTTTATTTTCATTCCCATCAAAATTTAAAGAAACTGAATGAAGGTAAACACTTCAGGACCCTAGATGAGAGAGGTCAGAAAAATCTTGAGAATAGGAGGTCAGAACCAGGGCTTATTAAGCATGTTGCAAAACTCCCATTGACTTCAAGAGTGCTGGTATTTGGCCTCGTTCTGTAATTCCAGAAGAATCAGCTCACCAGAAACCCGGCCCTCCTCCAAAGCAGTTCTTTAAAAAAGTACAAGCACTTCTCTGGGTTGTCTTAACCCCTTCCAATACATAGGCCAGGTTAATATTAATTAAGACCACTCTGCCTCATTTAAAAAACACTCTGTAACTTGACTGTGCTTTGGCATGCCATCAATGATATGCAAGGCCTCTGAGAATGAGACTAAAGGAAAGGAAAAAATTATTACATGCATACCAAGCCACTATTTGTGGTGCCATACATGCTTCTGAAGATAATTTATGAGCCAGTTAAAATCTTAGTACCAGGTCCAAAAGAAATCTGGTCTCAGCAACCTATTAAAAGGCTGTATTTTTCACTTTCTCTTTCTGTTGAGACATTTTCCTTCTACCAATATTCATAGGAGTTGGTGGGTACATGCTAGGAACTGGCACTTACAAATAGAAAGCTACCAAAATCATGAAAAACACGAAATCTGTTATTGCCCATAAAAGCAGGCAATGTTTGCGAAATCCATGGAAAAACAAAAGGAAAGCTTACTGAAAATAAAATGCTGGCTCCCCAGAGGGAGACAGAAGTCCTCATGGTGCTGCGGCTCGGCAGCTCAGCCCACTGGGGAGGAACTGGGGAGTTGCTGGCACACGGGGGCCTGGCCACAATAAGTCCTCTAAAATGGTAGCTGGCCCCGCGATCTGCCTGCAAAATTGGCCAGCTGCTTGTAAAAACCCAACCTTAATGAAGTTTTTTACTTAATTTTTATATTGAAATAATAATTTTAAAACGTGTGCAAGGCTGTAGGTGCCCCAACGCATGAGGACTCTTATTATTTTAATGGTTCTGGGGTTTTGTTGCAAGACTTGTTTCTGTAATTACATAATTCTTTGTGCCTTATTGGGTTACATGCACCTTTGCCCTCTGCTGGGCCTCCAAAGTCACAATTCAATTGAATATCAAATGACATCTGGCCATTAACTCAGGTTTTTGATGAGTACTAGTGTCCAGGGATATACATTACAAAAATGCTTGAGGGAATCTTGCAGCTGCAGGACGATTTATGAAATTACAAGCTTAGTAAACCAGAGACTCAGTCCTTGTTCTCTACTGTCTGCAACATCTGAATGGCACAAAGAGGAAATACTTTGGCCAGATGAGAATTCCCCTCAGTCGACAAGGGGAATTTTTAACTTGCAAAATAAACAGGTCTTTTTGCAGTGCCAGCCTCAACCTGGCACCACAACTTAGGATCCTGTCCAGAGATGATGAGGTCCAGCTTTCCTGTGGCAGGCTAGTTGAGGGGGAAGGGCAATTAGAAACTGTATACAGCTTTTGCTTTTTAGTCCAACCAGACTTGGGGCAGCAGAAGAAACCACAAAGTGGCTGCCACCAGCTTCTCCCCCAGAATTCTTGAGAAATTTGGCCTGTTTCCATATAAGCTGATTACAATTTTTTGCTTAAAAATTATGCTACTTTTTAATAGCGCCCACTGCCCCCTCCAAAAGAGCTTAAACAAAAGTAGGCTAATTTCCCACAATTTTTTGCAATAGTTTAAATGAGTCAGTTGTGAGTTGTTAAAGTCCCATCTCTCTTTCTTTTCAGATTCTTCCTTGTGTACTGGGTGTACAGAAGAATCAGAGCTGCTAAAGAGGCAGAGATCACTCTACATAGATCTTGGAGCTCTCGCTGGCTACTTCAATATTGTTAGGGGACCACCAACATTTGAATATGACTGACTTTAGCTAGTTCTCATGCGTTTGGATCAGAGTTGGGACCCTGTCTTTCAGAAGTTCATTGTGTGTGTGTGTGATATGTGTGTGTATATGTGTGTGAGTGCATAATCTATTTAAAAAAAAGAAAAAAAAAGAAGAAGCCTTTTTGGGGCTATCAAATGTGAACTGCTTTTAACTTCACAGTTAAGTAAGCTAAGCCCTTTGGGTTTTCTGGTAGATGCAGCCCAAGCAATAACATTTTGTGTCCGATTGCAAACCAAGACAAAGGGGAAAGAATCATAGAAAGTATGGATTGTAAGGGATTTCAGGAGGTGATCTATTCCAACCCCCTGCTCAAAGGAGGACCACCCCCAACTAGATCATCCCAGCCAAAGTTTGTCCAGCTGGGTCTTGAAGAACATCTTGTTGGGACTGTTGTTCTCTAGAAATTATCCTTATGCTGTATGTGCTTGGCACATGTACTTTGAAATGCAAGAAAAACAAACAAAAAACCCTTCCTTTCTGATATGCAAAAAAAGAAAAATATATTTTTCTTGTTTGGTGCTTTTAAATGTTAGGGTTGTGTCCTTCAGTCTTGCAAGGTTGTGCTTAATGTAAAACCAGGTGTGAGAGACTTTATGGACCACTCCTGGGAGATTCTTCCACAATCAACACTTCTCTCAGCTTTTGGTCAGTCTCGGCACAAATCAAAATAGCCTTTAGGCAGATTTAAATTGTGCCAGTGTCCGGTGAGCAATGGAGCCAGGGATAACTGGCTTAGGAAGATGCCCTTTGCTATGCTTCCTTTTCTTGGAAATGCCAGCACTAAGGGAGATATAGGCATTTTTGCACAGACTGTGCCCCCACCATCCCTGCAAGGGTTCTCTGAGAGGGGACAATCCTTCACTGGCTGCATCCACGGGCTTTGAGGGAGTTTTGTGCTGGGAGAGTAAACCAAATTTTCTGGCCTTGACTGTCCATGTGACTCAAATGTTACACATGCTTGGGCTGTCAGTAATGTCAGGAGAACTCCTGACTCCTACTGCTTTAAAACTATACATGTTTAAGTAACTTTACTACTGTGTATTAGAAAACATGTCATTAGTGACACATTCTGTTCCTATGGAAACAGAATTTTACTATTCTCACTATGGCTAATACATTTAAAACACAATGTTTTGGATGGTAGTAAAACTATGTAACTCGCATAGTTCTGTACATCCCATGGGATGAGAATGTAAACTTTTATAAACTCTTTAGTGCTTAGGATCATTTTCTTGTAAGCATTTCTGTTAAGATGGCATACCGTGTATGTTGGACATCGAACCCTTTGGGACACAAGGCCTCGTTATTAGAAGTCAATTATTTAAGACTGCTTCTATCAAACGTGATCTTTAATCGATTATTTCCAGTTTGATACTGATATAATCAGATGAATAAATCCAGTTTGTTGTGTCCTAAAGCAGTTGTTCTGCCTGTTCTTTTCGAATGTGTTCTGGCTGAACTGCGGAGTCAGCTGCGAGACTGCCAGAGCATGAAGCATTGTCTGTTCCCTTCTCCTGTTGCCAGTGGGGAAAGTTACTGTCCTCTAGTGACAGCCTGAGAACTGGGGAGTGGAACAGTTTTTTCAGGCCTGAGCCATAGTAATCTGAACACTTTCCAAAACAGCGTTAACTTGCATTTGAAAATACTTCCAGAACTAACAGAGCAGCATTGGCAGGTAGTAGCAGTAGTAGGCATCTGTCTGTTGTGCAAGACAATAGAATTACACTGAAGAGATGACAGCTCACTAAATGTAAATCCTTGCTTGTAAATAAAGTGAAGCTGGAGTGACCACGGCCTGGGCCGTGTATATGGAGACACCAAGCTGCCCACATGCCAGTGTCTCCCTCTTGACCTTGCTGGTTTAATTAAAAAGAAAAGGCAGGTGCCAGTACATTTGGAACCAGCTTTGCCTTCAATAATAGACCTGCTGCTTGTGATGGTATTTGAAGAGCTTCATTCATCTTGGCTATGGCTACCAGTATGGACCAGGGATTCGGGTGATAAGTATAGCTGACTTACAGGGGAAGGGTGGTACAATAGTTTGGGCAATAGCCTGGTACTCTGGAGACCCATATGTAATTCCCTGTGCCATCATAGACTGTCTACTGTGTGAACTTTACACATGCTGTTTGAAATCAATGGAAATGGGGTGCCCAAGTACTTTTGAAGATCTGGGCCTGAAGGTATTTCTTCACTGCTTCCCCAGTATTCCTGGGGGTGCTGCTGTCAAGTGCATCCTGCTCACCTGCTCCTACTCTGCACCTATCCCACAAATGCAGTAATAAAGCTTTACCTACCCCCCCACCCCCAACACGCACACAATTCTCGCCAGAGGCAGAGATTTTGAGTGGTGGGAGAGGCCCCCTCAGAGCAGCTTCCCTGCTTCAGAACTAGGTTTGACACATGAAAAGGGAGTGAGAGGGTGGGGTTTGTTTGATGGAAGTGCCCTTGGGGGGTGGGGGGTCCTGGGAAAATGGGATAGACATAGGATCATCATAGGAAAGTAAGGCTGGAAGAGACCTCATGAAGTTACCTTGTCCAGCCCCTTGCTCAAGGCAGGGTCATTCCTGACTAAAGCACCCCAGCCCAGTGTCTGTCCAACCTACTCTTGAAAAACTTCCAAGGATGTAGACTCTCTAGGTAGCTTGTTCCAATGCTTGATCGTTCTCATAGTCAGAACATTCATTCTAATCTTCAACCTAAATTTCACCTGCTGAAGGTTGAGACCATTATTCCTAGTCCTGTCCCCTATGGTCATGGAGACAAGCCCATGTCTGTCCTCTCTGTAGTCACCCTTCAGGTATTTGAAGACAGTTCTCAAATCCCCCTCAGTTTTCTCTAAATAAACCTAGAGGTTATTTAAGCCTTTCCTCATAAGTCATAACCCCTAGGCCTCTAATCACATTTATTGTTCTCTTCTGTACTGAACTCTCCTCATCCTTCTTAAAGTGCATGTAGGCTTCCCGTGCTTCAGTTCCCCATGAGTAAAATGAAGGTTATCCTCATAAGATAGTTAGAAGGCATTATGCATTATGCAGACTGAGAAGTGCTCAGATGCCATGTTGAAGGAACCTACACAAGTATTCTAGGGTAGGTATATGGGAAACTTTTACTTCAATAGGTGGTCCACTTAAAAGCTAAAGAGATCAAAATCAACTGTACCTTTAGATGGTAAAAACAGGAAGAACCTCAAGACATGGACACCATTGCATGTGCATGTGCCATGTGAGAGTGCAGTTTGAATCTTGTGAAGTGGTGTATCTGAATCACCGCCCAGATAATGACCATACTATCAAAAGCACCATGTGTGCAAATACCCTATTATCAGGGATAGAAATATTGTTAAATAAATTCTATAAAGTGACATCTTATCTCACACTATCTTGCTGCCTAGACCACAAGATTAATTAATAAATTGGTAGCTGTTAATCTGCTTGTGGAGTTTCATTCCAAATATCAGAAATTATTAGGCATAAACTTTCCAGCAGCTTCACAGATGAAGTCCATTTGGAAGACAAGCCTGTTAAAGGACCAATAACCAAACTTGCTGCTTAGCTAAATGGGCTTGATACTCGACATGCCCCATTGTACAGACTAGTCTTCACTTAGCAGCCTACACTTTTGCAGTGGGGTGTGTGTTTTTCTCTCCCTTCACATTAATTTTCCCAGGTGTGAGATCTCTTATCTTCATTTCCTCTGAGGTTGATTGTCACCAAGAAACACAAAATCCTTTCCTATTGAACTGAAGACAAAAATATAAAAGTACAAGGGAATCCACTAATCTTGGCTCGATCTACCAGTGGAAATGGAACACGCAGCCTGTTGGGTCCTGGCCTGGGAGGAGATTAGGCAGGGCACACAGAGTTTGAGCCCGTGGATGCAATTGTCTCTGTTAGCAGAGCAACAGGCCCAACAGACACTCCTGTTTCTAAATGTGTCAATGAATAGAAGGTATGTACATTGTGAGCAGCCACTAGACTGGGCCTCAGCACCAGTCCTGGTCCTGTCACTTCCTACATTTTGAGCTTTTGCCTCCAGTCTGTAGAGGAGAAATGTTACTTCTGAGTTCAGACCTCCCAGATATGCTTGAAAAAAATTACTTAAAGCCTCACTTTAGGGTTTCCCTCATAACTACTACTGCTACCCACTCTTTCTTTCCTGTCATCCCTCCCTCCCTCCTTGAGAAGTGTACAGTTTAACACTTGGTTTCAGTAGCACTTAAGTGCTTCAGTATTGTTTTAAATAGCTGTCCCTTAGTTCTCAATATCCCAGAAGACTTTGGTGGGTCAAGCAAGGTTGGAAGCTTTGAAAGGGCAACAGCACTGCTGCTCCATTGTTCCTGCTCCCGCTGTCCTTGCTGTGGAGGTCTGACATGAGCTTTCCCCTACGAACTGCTATAGCCAGAGTTGGAGGTTTGTCAGGATTTTGAGAAAAGTTATGAAAGCTAACTGAAAATGCAAAATAAACCCTTCTAGTTAATGCTGGAGGCAGTCAGCAGCTGTGAGCAAGCACGTCATGGCAATAATACGCATCTGAAGCTGATGTCTATCATTGCAGCTTCTATGAGGCTAAATAGAAGAAGCAGTTAGGCTTTGTGGCAGCATAATACAGTTGAAGCAATAGACACCACGACTAAACATATTTAAACATATTGGCTCAGATGGGAAGGCTTGAGTAAGATTTAACTCCAGGAACAAAGGACTAATATGCTAACATCTTGTCTGATGGAGTTTCACTTGTCTGTGGGCATTCAAAGCAGAGAGAGAAAGAGAGAGTTGACAGTGAGGAAAGCAGTGTTAGTGTGACTCTGGGGGAAAGCCAAGAGCTGCTTTTGGATTAGAAACAGTAAGCAAGGAAATTCCCTCTGTATTTTTGTTCCTGATGTGTTCAGGGTGCCAGGACACATGCAGGACTGCACCTGACTCCTATCAGCCATTGTTCCTGCTAACAAGAACCACCTGCCAAGGTGCTGAATATCAAATGGGGGAAGGGGCAGCAATTCCCCTGTGAACTCTACCACTCTTGACCAGACTTGGATCTTAGCCACACCAGCATAAATCCAGCCTGACCTCAGCAGAGTTGCTCTCAAGTGGGGTTTCTTCCTATCAAGGCCTTTGTTTCTGGGTTAGTCCTTTTCTTTTCCTAGTATCAAACCCATGTGTTTACTACCTGTACCCTAGTGTTCCTTGCCTATAAATGCTGCATGGAGTTGCGCACACGTTGGCTGATAACTACCACCCCCTGACTTACCAGAGAAGGAGACAAAGGGATTAGCAGTCAGATGCTCTACCATTCCCCAAATTCCATTGCCAATAGCTGGGAAGATCCCCAGGCCTGGTGTCTCTCTCCTCTGTAGTCCTGTATGAGACAAATGTGCTTGGAGGCCGTAAGTAAGTGGGGAAGGGGTTTAGCAGGTGGATACTTCTGATGGGGTATTAGAAAGACATGAGCTTATCTGAGGAGCAGGGATGGCAATATGTGATGCGAGGTATGGTTGGTACACATGGCATGGAGGGAAGTGGTTCATATGAGTCTGCCAGATTGAAGGCAGAGCTGGCGAATTCCTGTGGTGCTTGAGGCTGGAGGCAGTAAGATTTGAGATAAATTGTTATTGCTTGGGGTTCCACACAGTTTCTTTCATGTTTCTTATCTGGGGAATTCTGAGAGTGTGCAAGCTTTTGCCCAGGCTGCCAATTAGGCCCACATCTCTCCTGAGTTCAGATTTGAGCACAGGAAGCCCACAGGCCTAGCAATTGCAGGACACTTAGACTCTTGGTTTCTGTTAGCCTCCCTGGCAGCACAGGGTCAGACTTTGAGTGCTGAGATTCTGCATTACTCCGACCTCAGTAGTCCCTATGTAGTAGTCCTAATGGTGCCCCGCTGCACCAGTTGTACAAGAAAGGAAACAAAGGAATCTCTACTCCAGATCAATATGTTCCAAACTTCTGGATCAAATTCATCCATTATCTCTCATGCCCATCAGGACCTCATTGTCCAACCTGGACACTGGATCATAGTTGGGAAGGTTCATGCTGTATTAGGTAAGGTGAATAGAAAGCTGGCTGGATGGCACTCTCAGCAAGTTGTGGAGTGTAGTAGATGCACTGGAGGGTGGAGTTAAGATTCAGAGTAACCTAGACAAATCAGAGGAGTGGGCTGAAAGAAATCTCATGAGGTTCAAAAAGGACAAGTGTGAAGTCCTGCACTTGAGAGAAGAATCCTGTACACTGCTACAGCTTGGGGACTGCCTGGCTAAGCAGCAGCAGCTCTGCAGAAAAGGACCTGGGGGTTACAGTGGACAGTAAGATGGATACGAGCCAGCAGTGTGTCCTTGTTGCCAAAGACTAACTGCATGTTGAGCTGCATTAGTGGAAGCGTTCCCAGCAGATCAAGGGAAGTAATTATTCCCTTCTA